AACGCCAGCCAGCGCACGAGGCGCAAGCGAGGCGCCCACGGGCGCCGACGGGCCGAAAACCAAGAAACGCAAGCCAGCGTACGAGGCGCACGATGGTACCTCGGGCGCCCACCGTCCGGAACTCTTGAAAAGTAAACCAACACACGGGACGCCCAAGATGCGTCCATGGGCGTCCACCGGGCGAATACCTAGAAACGCCATCCAACGACTTGAAAGCCATGTTAAACCTTCAACGATTGACACAAACCCCATGCATCTTGTGCTTTCGATTGAGGCTGTCTTTGATCTTATGATCCTGGAGCCTGAAAGTCCAACGGCCACACGGGTGCAAGGCGTTTCCTTTTTAAAGAACAGCTGTGGCTTCGGAGCTGCGCGTGATCTGAACATCTCCACTGGGTACGTGGAAAAAAATCACCTTTCTTTGAAAGCACACCGCAGTCGGATCTTAATGTGGTCGGTGTTGTAGGTTTGACGCGGACTGGCGCTCTCACTATGTATGCTCCTGAGCCCTCACATTTCCAGGGGGCGTTCGCTGTTGTGAAGCACGCTTGCATGACCTAGAGGGGGGCTTGGGGCAGCAGTGCGTAGTGCAGCATCAAGTAAGAGAGCCCCTCCTTCTCCTCCCCGTCGTCCTGCCCGCTGTACGAAAACCTTGTAACAAGACGAGGGCGCACGCAGAAGGTGCACCCCAACCATGGCACGTTTTGTGACACTGTTGCCAAACTCCCCCTGGCGGAGAGGGAGAGAAAGAGAGAGAGAGAGAGAGAGAGCACTGTTGTGGAATGCGCGCGCGCATCCCACCCCCCAGCGGGATGTGGGGGGTTGGGATGCTCCTGTGGGCGTTTCGCGATGCCCGTGGCCTAACCCCCCCACCCTGCCTCGGCTGCGCCCGAGAGTGAGCTCCTTCTTCGAACGCGATCCCCCATGCAGCCTCCATTTAAAATGGCGGAGCGTACTGGCGATGCGCATCCACGGGGAATCACTCCGCGATAATGAGAATCGCATCGTCACAACACGATCCCGCCATGGATTCTGGACCGTCCCAGGCCGACTCAAATATGACCAAACACATTAGCCACGAGTGATGCCGAGATGGCCCGATGGCAACAAGATGGATCCACGCGCGCCCAGGGTGGCCCCAGACTGAACATGCGACGGCTGAGATATGATCTCAAGATGACCTCAAGACGACCCTGTCATGGCAATAATGCTGCAACCTCTGAGCCCCATCGTACTGCGAGCCGTTCCCAGCATGGCGGATCCGTGAATTACCTGGGATATTTGTTTACCCTGTTTGTATGTAAAGGGTGGGATTTGTCTGGCTGAACTAAAACTATAATATTAAAACGGGAATCAATTAGGCGGGATCCCGCCAGGCCCACGGCAGAAGACTACATTGCTAGGCTTCTACTGGGGTAAAGGGGGTTCGGACGGGGCGTCACTTACTTCCGCTGTCGTCCGCAAGCCTTCCGACGGCCTTCCGCCTCGTTTTGCTTCCGTCGGTTTTCGTTAGCGAGCGTCGTGATGAAAGCTCAAGGACCTTTCATTGGGCCGATGTATGAAAAAGGGAACTTGGAGGGAGGGTGTATTGTGACATCGTTGATGCGTCTTGCGTTCACACTCGTCCTCCTCCTCCTCCTCCTCCTCCTCCTCCTCCTCCTCTCCCTCCCCCTCCCCCTCCCCCTCCACCTCCTGCCCTTCCTCCTCCGTTTCCTCCTCCTTCTCCTCCGTGCCGCCCGAGATGGCGTCGAAAGTCGCGTCCACGGCGCCGAAGGTCTCCTCGCCGTCGACCAGCGAGCCAATAACGGACCCTGGGAGGAACAGCGCGGCCACCTCCGGGTCCTGGCACGGTCCGCGGAGTCCACTTGGTAAGGCGATCCCTCTGTCTTCCCCTCCTCCCGCCCTCTCCCACTCCTCCTTCTCCTCCTCCTCCTCCTCCTTCCTCCTCCTCCCTCCCCCTCCTCCCCTCCACCCCTTCCTTTTCCACTTCCTCCCCGTCATTCTCTTTCCCCCTCCTCCGTGTGTCCTCCCTCCCCTCCCCTCTCCTCCTCCTCCGCCTCCGCCTCCTCCCTCGCCTCCTCCACCTCCTCCACCTCCTCCTCCTCCTCCTTCTTCTCCTCACCCTGCCTCCCCCTCCTCCTCCTCCTCTCCTCCTCCTCCTCTTCCTCCTCCTCCTCCTCCTCCTCCTTCATTCCTTGTCCTTGGAAATTCGCCGGCCCAACGGGCCAGAGGCGTGCTAAGATCTCCGGTAACTGCTTTGCAGTAAATCTACTTCGCGCGCGCGGGGCGGCCCCTGGGGGTCCCCGGATAAAAAGTACCCCAGGCAGGTCCCGGGAGACTCGGGTCAGAGATGGTTTTCCTCCTGGGCGACGCCTTCGAGGCCGTTTAGAGAGCCCCAAGAAAGGCCAAGAGGCCGCCAAGAGCCCCTCAAGATGATACGAGAGAGCTCCGAGATGCCACAAGATCGCTCCAAGACGCCCAAGATGGCCCCAGACGGCAAACTTCATTGCTTTCCCTTAGGTCTTGGAGAGATTTTTGCGTTTCCACCTTTTCGGCTTCCCGACACCCCACGACGGCCAAAGAGGCCCCCTCCACCGCCCCCAAGGGGGCCCAAGAGGCCCCTAAGGCCCCAAGACGGCCCAGGAGGGCTCCAAGACGGCCCAAGAGGCCTCCAAGACGGCCCCAAGAGAGGTCCCAGGGGGGAACACGAAACAACATTTCGAGCCCTCGGCCATAAGAAGCCCCCAGGAGTCTCCAATATGCCCCTGAGAGGCCTCAAGAGGCCCCCAACAGGCCCTCAGGAGGCCCCCAAGCGGCCCCAGGAGGCCCCCCAAATGCCCCCCCGAGCAGGCAAGCAAGTGCCAACGACCCGACGCGTTTAAGAGTCCCCAAGAGGCCACCAAGAGGTCTCCCGAAAGAGTCCCCATAGGCAAAACGCTTCCAGACGGCCCGCGACGCATTCAAGACTCCCTCAGCGGCCACCAAGAAGCCTCCCGAGAGAGCCCCCATAAGAAAGAATCCATAATCCCCTATGCGTTTTTCAACGAATTTTCCGTTCTCGCCTTTTCCGCTTCCCCGGGCTCCAAGATTGCCGCAGATGCTTACACATATCGCCCCAAAACAGCCCAGGAGGGTTCAGGAGGAGCCCGACAGCGCTCTAGGAGGAGCCCAGATCGGTCAAAGAAAGCTCCAAGACAGCCCCAGAGGCATCCAAGACGGACCAGGAGCCTCTCAAGAGGGCTCCAAGAGGAAGCCCAGACGGGGAACGCCAACAAACGTTTCGAGCTCTCGGCCCCAAGAGGCCTCCGGGAGGCCCTCAAAGCCTGATAAAAAACAGCCGCCTCTGCAGCTCCGCACCGCGAAAGACCACTCGGTCAGTCGACAACGGCGCGCAATATGGGCCGGCGGAATAAGCGAAGCGATTCCATAACTGCTCCCTGTCCCACCCCGAGGCCAGTTTTAGGGCGGGCCGGGTGTTTCGCCTGAGACTTCCTCACCATTTATGACCCTGAAGCTTCAACATTGGCAACCGTTTCACGAATGGAGGGCGGGCCGTTTTCAAAAGGATGCTCTCGCCTTAGCGCCGAGCGCATTCGTTTTTTTTACAATTTCCGAGGGTTTCACGGATTGAAGGCGACCCGTTTTCAAAATGTGGCTCTCGCCTCAGCGCCGCGTACATGCGATTTCGCAAACTTGCAAGAGTTTCGCGGCCAGAGGGCGGTTCCTTTTCAACATGTATCTCTCGCCTTAGCGCCGCGCACATTTGTTTTTAAACTTTGCAAGGGTTGCACGGATTGAGGGCGGCCCGTTTTCAAAATGTGGATCTCGCTTTAGCGCCGCGTGCATTCGATTTTAAAGCACTGCATGAGTTCCACGGATTGAAGGAGGGCAGTTCCTTTTCAACATGTAGCTCTCGCCTTAGCGCCGCGCACATTCGTTCTTAGCGTGTGCAAGGGTTTCACGGATTACCGTGATCAGCGTGCCAGATATTTTGTTTTGGAAGGATTCAGGATTATGAGGGTGCAACAGTTGCGTTGATTCGTGGTGTTGAAGTCCCAGGAATGGCGTTCTGGCACGACTCAGGACCGTCAAGACGCAAGAGTCAGGTTGATCCAAGGCGTTGGAATCCCGAGAACAATGTTTTGGCATGCTTCAGGGTCTTCAAACGGTTATCTTCCAACGAGGCAGTTCCCGCAGTGGAAATCAAGCGTTGTAGGGGCCTATGAAGAGGGACCTTGGATGGAGGGTTTATTCCAGCCTCGTTGATGACTCTTGGATTTACACTGGTCCTCCTCCTCCTCCTCCTCCTCCTCCTCCTCCTTCTCCTCGTCCCCGTCCCCCTCCCCCTTCTCCTCCTCCTCCTCCTCCTCCTCCTCCTCCTCCTCCTTATCCTCCTCCTCCTCCTCCTCCTCCTCCTCCTCCTCCTCCTCCCGCCTCCTCTTCCTCCTTCTCCACCTCCTTCTCGCCGCCGCGCTGGCTCGAGCTTCTGGGAGCGGATGCCAGGCATCCCCGAACCTCGCCCGGAGCAACTGCCATGCGCGCCAGCCCGTGCCCGAGCAGCGTGCGGGCCCAGCCCAGCCTGCCTGCTGAGGCACGGCCTTCGCCGGGCCTGCGCGGACGGGGGCGCCCCGCGCCTCGCGACAGGGCTCGGCCGCGGCTCACCGAGCCCCGCTGCCGGCGCCGCCCGCCGCGGCGCCAGGCGGCCGCGCCGCCCGCTGCCCGAGCCTGCCTGGCATGGCCTGGCAGAGGGGCGGGCGATGCTGGCGCGCGCGAGGTGACCGCATCCTGCTGGGTGGCTGCTGCGGCTCGCAGCCTGGAAGCGCATCCGCAGCTCCCGGGGCGCTGCTGCAGGTGGCCGCTCGCACACCGTAGTCGAGACGCCCGAGGTGCAGGGCGCTGCTGCTGGTGGCCGCGTTCCTGGCGTCGGCGGTGGCAAGAGCGGCCCTCGAGGCGGCCGCCGCGTGGCGCGTGCAGCGGCCAAGGTGGCCCACCGCCGCCATGGCAGCCTGCCCTGCCTGGCCCCCCTCCCGCCGCTGGCGCCACGCTGGTGGTGCCCAAACTGGGGTAGGGCCAGCCCCGCCACCGCCATGCTGTGCAGCCCTTGCATGCCGATGCCAGCAGGAGGTCCTCATCACGGCGCACGCCAACCTGGCATGACGGACACGACATTGCCAGATCGAGGCGACGCGACTTGTCGAGGCGACGTGACAGATCGCAGTCGAGAGTAAGTTCTGATGAATCTGCTGAACGTGATGATGATACATGCCGTGAGTCAGAAGAAGGAGATGATGCACCAGGTCCGCTTGGCATTTTGTCAGCCATGCCTCGAGATGCACGTGCCCACCCATCGTGGACCGAGCCACCTGCTGACCCGCGCGAGTCCCTGGCCCACCGCACGTCACAGCGAGAAGTTGCGGCAGATACGGGCAAGAGACTCTCAAGGCCGCCAAAAAGCTCACCATGGTCGAGGAGCAGCAGTGTCCTAGAGAAGAGGAGCATGCAGTTGTTGAGCATGATCATCGCCACTCGCAGACAAAGAGATCGCTGCGACAAGCAGCGCAGCTATGTCCAGGAGGCCGAGCAGAAGCTGGGGCGCGCCATCAAAATAGTCACGAAGTGCCGCGAGAAGGTGGATCAGTCAGAGGCCAAGTATGCTCGTGAAGCTACGGTCACACGAACCAAACTAATATTAGAGCAGCTGGAGGAGATAGGTCCCGTGACAGGTGGCGCACGAGATGATGATGAGCAGACGGGCGCGACCCTGCCAGCAGCCACCCCTCCCGACTAGGCGCCGCCAATGGCCGTGATCGCGGAACTGCAGGCTGGCCAAGCCGTCATGACCGCGCAGACGGTCCGGCTTGCGCCCGCCCTGAGCAAACCCGATGGCGAACATCAGTCAAGGTGCTGGCGCTGCTGGAGCTGCTGGGGCTGCCGGAGGCGCCCTCCCGAAGGCGCCAGGCGCTGGGGCGGCCCAGGAGGTGCCACCCTTCGGCGGCCAGGGCCACGCCTGCGGCGGCGCAGGCCGCGCCGGCCGAGCAGCCGCAGCCCGCCGCTGCCCCCCCCGGGCGGCGGCCGCGCCGCCGGCCGCCGCCGCCGCGCCAGCTGGGGCCCAGGCGGAGGCGGCGGCCGCTGCCGCGCCCGCTTCGGCCCAGGGCCACGCCTGCGGCGGCGGCGCCCGAGGCGGCTGCCGAGCGGCCGGCCCCGGGGCGCGGCCGGGAGGCCCTCCCCGCCGCCCCGCCTGCCCCCGGGGCCGAGGCTGCCGCGGCCTGGGCCCCGCGCGCCCTGCGAGGCGCCGCCGCCGTGGCCCGGAAGACCTGCGCGCGCGCGCGGCCGAAGCTCGTGCCGAGGCCGCCCGCGGGCGCCGCGAAGGAGCGGCTGCTGCGGCGGCGCGTGCGCGGCGCCCTGCAGGACAGCGGGGGCCTCCTGCTGCCATGCAGCGGCAGCGGGGGGCGGCGTCGCCTCGTGGCCGGAGTGTGGCCGAGGCGCCGTCGCCCCTCCCGGGCAAGTGGGCCGTCCCCGGGCGCCACCGCCCCAAGGTCGGGACGACCTCGAGACGGCGGCTGGCGAGCAGCCCTCGACGAGACGCGGGCTCCTAAGCGGGTCCAAGAGTCCACGGCGGGATCAAGATGATGATGATGATGCTGCTGCTGCTGCTGCTGATGATGATGATGATGATGATGATGATGATGATGATGATGATGATGATGATGATGATGACGACGCGTCGTCACCGGGATGGGGGCAAGCTCGGGGAGGGCCGCAGAGTGGGGGGCGCTGTTGAGTGAGCTGAGCGTGCCGTCTGGCTTGCCCCGTCGAGACGACCAACAAATGGAGTCTACTGC